CCCGCCGCGACCAGGAGGACGCGATACGCCTTCTTACATGGAAACTGAATCTGCCGCTAATTGATTTTCGTATCGGAAAGGAAAGTTCGAAGTGGACTGGGATGGGGTCTTTAAGAGGGGCAGACTGATTGGTCGGAGAGATTTTTTAAAATTGTCTGTGGAACTATCGAATGGAACTATCAAATCGGTTGGAATGTGTGTGGAATTATACTGTTGCTGGAAATTGAAGTTCGAAGTGACAGGATGAGTTTGGAACGAGTCTAAGTGAAAATCTTGAAGGAGCGATTGCTTCTAATTAACTTGATATTCGAATGGTAATGCATACTTCGTATTGTACTATCGACGTACAGCGTCTAACAGAGTTTCGAATACTCCGAACCATTTAAAGACAGATATAAACCCACGATCCAAGGAATAAACTGCTCGTTCCAATACACGGAATCGTTCAACGGATAACTTCGCACTCGACCCAGTTCGAACTGTTCACCTGTTCAAATCGTTCGGACGATAACTTCGTGTTCCTTCTTACGCAGAAACCGAATCAACCCGCTAATTGATTTTCGAATCGGGGAGGAAAGTTCGAGCGAAACGGGGACAGAGTGTCGAGGGGATCGGCCTGGGTGGGGTAGCACTCGATTGGCTCGGGCAACGTCTGCGAAGGAGATCCGTTTGAGGAAGTTCGAAGCGGCGAATGGCGAAACACAGTGTAAATAAGATAAACAACGGCCGTGGCGAGGGGGCGAAACGAAAGTTATCTAGCGCGAGAACAAGTGTTCCTCGCTCCCTCTCCGTTGGGCACCACCACCTGTCCGGAAGACGAGCGTGTACGTGCAGCCGCCCACCAACGGAGCCCTAGTCAGACCTATTTCTGGCTAACGTCGGAGTTTAGGGTGCCGCCGTTGACTTTGGTCCGGGTATTTCTCGCCCCGGAAACGAAACTTTCATCTATCCGGCTCCCATCCCTCCGCCGCCTCGCTGGCGGGAGGTCATAACGATCCTCGATCTTCCAATCCCAACAGGTTTTAATTACGAGCGATCCTCCTCGCTCAGCCGAGAAGTATTAATTACATTTCTAGACAGTCCGGCTTGTCTCTGTTTCCCATCCCCTGATTTTTATCGGGCCGCTTGCGTAACCCGAGCCACGTGATCCTCGTTAATTATGCTTCGATAAAGTAACTCGCCGGGGATTAAACGATATCCCGCGGAAGGGCTAATGCCGGCGCGACGAGCAACCTCGACACGCGCCACGGATCACGGGGTTTTCAGCTTCGAATTTTTCTGGTTCGATTTTATTGCACCGGTGCTTTGACCACCGGGGATTATAGTGCTTCCGGTGGATGACCAGCGAACTGTGAATCTTCTCGCGAAAGAAGATTGTGTGTGGTTGTTTTATTCCGTTTGTCGTCACGAGCGCATAAATATCGGCTATCCGGGGATCAGATTTCTGTAATAAAATGCTCGTTGAAAAATTATTCGATCGGAATCACTCTGAATAAGTATAGAGATAATTATAATCTTATAATGCAACCACTACTCCGCTTATCGGAATACCGATCATTCTCCTCGAACCAGTGACACTTTTTATCTACGTACTAATTCGGAAAAATGTTGATAATTAAGACAGTGATCGATACTGCACGCAAGAAACTCAAGTAAAAATCAACTGTTCCCCTAACTATCAACACACCAACTAACATCTCGCGATCCCCCACCATTTTGAGGCCGAAAGCAGCACGCAACGTCAGCCGATCTTCACTTTCCCACTTACAGCCTTAAACCCTCCGCGTCTACGGAGACCGTGAGCCGCGCGGATTCCCCGAAATTCAATTCACCGCGGCCGGATACACAATACAAATCATCCTGGATCATCATCGATCAAGCAGTGGGTCCCCCGACGCGACGGCCGGACAAGAATGAATCAGCGTGGCTTATTCAGAGCGTATCAAGGGCCCCGATCCCGCGTAGTCAGTCGTCCTCGTGTTACACACAAATCGAAGATCTCGATACGGTCTCGCCGGCTCGCGCGTATAAATACGTGTCCGCTCCGAAACCCTCCCGCCCCCTCGGAGACCCTCGCTTTTTCTTCTCCTCGCGAACCGTAAAGAGAAATAGAGAACCGCGCGGAGATCGGCGGGCCACTTAAAAATTGATCGAAACCTTTTTATGAGCGGTCCTCCAACAGGGGTGGTGCTCCGAATATCGGCTCGGATCCGATACCACGGACGGGGCGGGGGAGACAGAAGGGGGAGACCGGTTCGCGGTCGTTCGTGCGAGTTCGGCAGTCGAATAATCGCGAGCGGATCCCCTGCGCCGCGTCGCGCGACACATTCTCCTCGATATCGATGCACGCGATACGGAAGATGGATCCGCGAGAAATGCAAAGAATGTCTTCTTGTATGTTTGCAGATACAGTGGAATGATAAAGGAAACGCGACGAAGACTGTAGATAGAATGTGTTCACTACGGTTTTGACGCGAAGATTAGATTTCGGACGATTGAATGTTGGTTTGATAATGGATTAACACTTTATTTTGATGTGCTCGTGTACGGATGCGGGGTTGAGCTTGAGAGATTTAAAATAAGAGGAAATTTCAGTGGTGGATTTTAACGATTGAACGTGATTTTATCATTGAAACGGTGTACGACTGTCGAATTCATTGATTATTCGTTAGCAGCTATATTATACGTGATTTTAACGGGTGCAAAATAATAGAAAATTCATGTGCGGCCACTTGAACGGATTCCATATGAGATTTTTCATGGCGTGGCTCACGATGGAATTGATTTGGATGCAACGAATGTGGGGCATCGGGTTATTAAAAGTATTGCCTCGGCGTTCCAGGAAGAGAGGATTGATATACTTCGGGGGATATCCAGTTTTCGCTTCGCGGAATTATTTACGATACCGCGGCCACGGGTTTAATGTGGACCGGTCGTCGAATATCGATGTCATTAGACGGCTCTAATTCGCGTGATCGCATTTTTTAACGTTCGGCGATCGGCGAATTCTGGAGCGTTCGATGACGAAGCGCTTCCTCGCCGTTGCACCGCGATTTATTGGACGACCCCGCGCACGCTGTAATGGCGCGAATAACAATAAAAAATGATTGCCAGCAGCGGATAGTCGTAACAAATCTGTCGGCGGGAAACAGTTTGCGCGTCGCTGTTCCCCTCCCGATGGTATCCCACGGTTTTACTTTTTCATTTCTGCTCGGCGGGATTAGAACAAACAGCTTTTCAAACTTTTGCGGCTCGCTCGCGCCGGCCGCGCTCGAATCGTTCCGCGCGAAACACCACTTCCGCCGGCCGCTCTTCAGGAATTTCGCCGACTGCGGTTATTAACGGAAGTATAATAAAAATTTCGTAACTCGTTGCACTCTACTCGGGACATAATGAAGCCGTTAGCGGACCGAACGCGGCGTTCTTAAATTCCTGCTTACGAAAATATAATGAGATACATAAGAGGTTTAGTTGTAAGAGCCTCCAGGAACTTCGCCGTGGTGATTCAGTTTTAAATTCATTTTAAAATTCAATGCCACAAATAATCTTAATCTATGCTTAATTATGAACCTTCCATTTGCTGTTCGTATTAAACATCATTCCCTTCCGAGTTCGTTGATTATACTAGGAGATAAAAAGGAGTTATTCCTACCGCTGTTACGCCGGATTCAATTGGCGTTCTAAATCCTGCGATTCGAATATCGAAAAACTGTCTTAAGGAATCTCACGGAGTACAAGGCGGTTCGCAGTGTTTACGCGCGCGATAACGGATTGTTTCGTTTCCCGTCGACAAACCGTGGATCCGAATGTGTCCGTAAGTATAGAAACAAAGAACAGCGTGCCAGTGGTGCGCGAGAATGCAGCACGAAATAAAGAGAGGGATCTATTCGCGGGATCAGAAATAGAGTTTCGCGCTTGCCGGGGGCCGGTCGAAGGACAGGGTCGCTCATGGGGGAGGGACGGAGAGGAAGAGGTAGAAAGAGAGAGAGAGGAAGTGAGAAAGCGAACGCGCAGCAATCGGGAATCGCGATGGAGATACGATCTTCCAGTTCTGGTTCTCCGAGCAGGATCGCAGACCGGGGTGGTCGTGGCCGAGGTAAGAGAATAAGATTTCATCGTGTAGAACGAGGGTGGCCGTCTACGTCGAGGTGTAAGGTGTCCCGCGAGAGCCAGCAGATCGTCGGGCTCACGCAACATCATCGTTCGAACTCGCAGCTCTTACGTGATGCGACCGAGATGAAGACGCGTCACGTGTTTCGTGCGTTCTCGAGAAATACTCGGTAGAAGAAACACTCGTAGAAACTGTAATTCGAAGTTTTTGCGAGGCTTCCGAGGGAAATTTCGAAAGTTTTAATGCTGGAACAATTTGAATCGCAAAGATCAATATCATTGTTAGAGCCGATAGAAGTATCTCAAGTTCGAACTCATTCCTGGAATAATTTGAGCATACCTGAACAGTTCGAACTGTTTGAAACTAGAGCACTTCAAGCTAGAGCAAACGCCGCGGTATTCAAATAATTCAAACCGCTCAGACATACATTCCGAACTAGCCGAGCGTTCAAATATTCAAAGGTTTCAAACCAGCCACATCTAAATTCATATCCAAACGAGTTCAAACAGCATTCGAAGTCCACAAACTTGAAACTTGGGACCGTTCAAATCCTAATTCCGAGCTTATGCACTGTAACACGGTCGAGCGTTCCAAATGAATTCGAACTTTATTTACAGCCCGAATCCACGAGCGACGCGCCCGCGCGCACGATTAGCCGTAGGAGGACGGTAGCGGAGTGTGTTCCGAGGGAACCGTATGCCCTCTTCCTTCCTCCGCGAAGGGCCTCGGCGATAGGCGCGTGCTCGACGTAGCAGGACGCCGGGTCCTTCCTGCGTTCGCGCGCGTGCATGCATCCGTCCGTCTCTCTCTGGCTTTGCGTGTGTCGGTGCTGCCTCTGATGGTGGGGGTAGGAACGATTGGCGGACGCAGCGTCGAGTTAGATGCTGAGGAGATCCGAAGCGTCAGTTGCGCGGTGGCCGCCGTACCGAGTGTTACGGGTGTTCTCGGTATCGTATCGACGACGGTTGGCTCAATCTCTCTTGCTCTTCAGAGAGCAGCTCCATTTAAGCGAGTACTGGGATTTCGGTAAACAACACCGCGATTTCTGGACAGTGTCCACCGGCGTCCCTTGCAATAGGAAAACCAGTGCATCGCCAACGGAAGAAACTTACGGAATTATTCGGAGCGCGGTTCCCTTTTAAACGCGAGACACTTTTCGGAGTACTCGACTGGATTACCACGATCCCAATGGAGGATCGTAGAGCAAGGAATACCCTAGACCCGCGTATGCGATTCGTCGATCACCCCTGTTCAGACTGATGCCTGGGTAATTTCCAAGCCCCGCGAACGTTTCGAACTGGTTCGAGTGTCTAACAAGATCCCCTCCTCGTGAAGTGTGATTAATCGTCGAAGTGCGTATCACCGATGCGGTGAATACTCGATAAAAAGGGAGAGCAGGGAAATGAAACTGTTCGAATGACGGCTGCGCCCACCGTTTCGCCGCGATAACGAATCGAACGATCGGGAACCGAGATCCACGCGGCTAACAAGATCCCCGACGAATCGGCTCTCGTAACAGTCGCCGTGAGCGAGTTGCGCGCGTATCGATTGGCATCGGTGCCACACATGTCAGTCGGCCGGAGTAAATATTGGAGGGCGTATACGTGCGACGACAGCGTGCGTTAATAAAGGCGAGCTAGCGCGGCCGGGCTAGCGGGCTGGCTGGCGTGTGATGATCGTTCGGAGCAACGGTAACGGGAGAAGAGGGCAACAACGACGACAACGGTCAGGGTAGAAAAGATGCGCGAAAAGCACGCGAGCCGCGACGCCGCGGCCGGCCGCCGCGGAACGGTGTTGTCGGTGTCGTTCGCTTGCTACTACTGTCTTCTGGTGCCGGTGTGCCACGTGCTCGCGGTGACCAGCGAGCTGCCGCCCAGGCTCGACCTGCCGGAGCACTGTTCTTGGGACTCGCGGCAGGACGGCGCGGTAACCTGCGTCCACCGGTACACGGGTAACGATGGATCCTTCAGGACGAACTTCTCCCAGGCCACCAGCGAGTACGTGACGTCGGTGAACGTCGTTTGCGAGGACACCGAGGCGAACATAGGCAATGTGCTGAACGTGGACGGCTTCGTCCAGCTATGGAGGCTGAGGTCGTTAAGGTTGACCGGTTGCAAAATGGTCCATTGGCCAGCGAAAGTGCTCAGCGGGCTCCGGGACCTACGTAACCTGACCGTGCGCAGCCTGAACGGGCGCAAGAGCAAGTATACCCTGGAGCTAGAGAGCGGCGCGTTCGACTCGGTCCCGCAGATCGAGAAGATTGATCTCTCCTGGAACAACATCTGGCAGATACCGGAGCACTTGTTCTGCCCGCTGTCGAACCTGCTCACGCTGAACGTCTCTTGGAACATGCTGAAGGACATCAACGAGCTGGGATTCAGGGAAGTCGGGGACAGACACACGAGACGGCAACAGGAGTCCACCGCCGCGCCGTTTGTCTGTTCCCTGGACGTACAGTCGTTGGACGTGTCGAACAATCAAATCTCGGTGCTGCCCGCGTACGGGTTCTCGTCCCTGAAACGTTTGAGGGTGTTGAATCTGTCTAGCAACGCGATCTCGATGGTAGCCGACGAAGCGTTGCACGGTTTGCGATCGTTGGAGACGTTCGATCTGTCCGGGAACAGGATCGTCGCGTTGCCGACGGGGATGTTTCAAGACGCGGCGAAGTCGCTGAAGGAACTACGACTGCAGAACAATTCGATCAGCGTGCTGTCCCCTGGCTTGGTCGCTGATATGAATCAGCTGGTCGCGTTGGATCTATCGAGGAACGCTTTGACCAGCTCCTGGCTGAATTCCGCGACGTTCTCCGGCTTGATACGATTGGTACTCTTGAACCTGTCTTACAATCGTATCTGCAAGCTGGACCCTGCCCTGTTCAAAGACCTGTACACTCTTCAGATACTGAACCTTCAGTATAACGAGATCGAGACGATACCGGCGGACACGTTCGCGCCGATGAGTAATCTGCACACGCTAGACTTAGCGTACAATCGATTAACCTATCTCGACGCGTACTCCCTGAACGGACTGTTCGCGCTCTCCCTGCTGTCGTTGGACTCGAATCAGCTCGAAGGAATCCATCCGGACGCGTTCCGGAACTGTTCCAGTATGCAGGACCTGAATCTGTCCGGGAACAATCTGGACAGCATACCGGTCGCCCTGAAGGACATGAGGATGCTGAGAACGCTGGACCTCGGCGAGAATCAGATCAGAAGCCTGAACAGGCCCGGTTTCCGGGGCATGTCCAGTCTGTACGGATTGAGGATGATCGGGAACGAGATCACGAACGTCACCGCGGAGGATTTCGCCGAGCTGCCCGCGCTGCAGATCCTGAATCTCGCCAGGAACAAGATCGAGACGGTCGAGGCCGGCCTGTTCGCGGCGAACCCGGCGTTGCAGGCGATCCGGCTCGACTCGAATCTGTTGCAGGACATGTCCGATATATTCGCGAGCGCACCCGGTCTCCTCTGGCTGAACATGTCCGACAACATGATCGTGCAGTTCGATTACAGTTACCTGCCGGAGAAATTGCAGTGGATGGACCTCCATAAAAATCTGATTATGGATCTCGGCGTCGCGCCCCAGGCGATGAGATTGCAGACGCTGGACGTGTCGTTCAACCGACTAACGAGGATCCACTCGAGATCGATACCGGATTCGATCGAGCTTCTGTTCGTCAACGACAATCTGATACAGACCGTCGAGTCGCAGACGTTCTTCGACAAGAAGAACCTGACCCGCGTCGACCTGTACGCGAACCAGATCGTCAAGATGAACCTGTCCGCGTTCCAGTTGACCCAGGTGCCCGCGTACAGGCAGCTGCCTGAGTTCTACATCGGTGGTAACCCGTTCATATGCGACTGCACCACGGAGTGGCTGCAGAGGATCAACTCGCTCCCGATGCGGCAACACCCTCGGGTGATGGACCTCGAGTCGGTCTACTGCCGGCTGCCGTACGACCGGCACAAATCGTTCATACCGTTGCTCGAGGCGAAGCCGTCCCAGTTCCTCTGCACGTACAAGGCGCACTGCTTCGCGCTCTGTCATTGCTGCGACTTCGACGCGTGCGACTGCGAGATGACCTGCCCGGTCAACTGTACGTGCTACCACGACCAATCTTGGTCGGCGAACGTGGTCGATTGCTCCAACTCCGGCTACAAGACTCTACCCGGACGCTTACCGATGGACGCAACCGAGGTCTACCTGGACGGAAACAATTTCGGCGAACTGAACTCTCATTCTTTCATCGGGAGAAAGAATCTGCAGATTCTGTACGCGAACGACAGTAACATAATCGCCGTGCGCAACCACACATTCAGCGGTCTGAAGCGTCTGCTGGTGCTACACCTCGAGAACAACAACATCAGCGTGCTGAACGGCGTTGAGTTGATGCCGCTGGAGAACCTGAAGGAGCTCTACCTGCAGAACAATCTGCTGACGTACATAGATAACGGCACGTTCCTGCCGTTGCGGCAGCTGGAGGTGTTGCGACTGGAGAACAATCGGCTGAGTGTGTTCGCGGTTTGGCAGCTGGCGCAGAATCCGTACCTCGTCGACATCGGTCTGTCCAGCAACCCGTGGAGCTGCGAGTGCACCTATCTGGACCGGGTGCGCGAGTGGATGTCGCTGAACCGGGCGAAGATCAGCGACTGGCGGACCGTCACCTGTTCCCTGGGCATGCCTATCACGGTGCCGGCGAACGGCTCGCTCGTAAATTGCGCCGCGTTGACCGGCACGACCTCGGTGATCGAGCCGCGGCCGTTCGAGACTTATCTGCCGCTACTGCTGGCCACCGCGGTCCTGATATTCGCGATGGTGGCGCTGGTGTGCGGCGTGTTCAAGCACCGACGCGCGCTCAGGACATGGGCAGCGAGCAGATGCGGCCTGAGGGCATGCTACAAGACCGCCGCGTTCGAGGACCAGGAGAAACCGTTCGACGCCTACATCTCTTACTCGGCGGTGGACGAGGCGTTCGTCTCGACGATCCTCGTGCCGGGCCTCGAGACCTCGTACCGTTTGTGTTTGCATTACCGGGACCTGGGCGCCGGCAGCAACGTGGCCGACGCGGTCGCCGAGGCGGCCGACTCATCGAGGCGCACCATTCTGGTACTGTCCAAGAACTTTCTGCACGGGGAGTGGGCCAGGTTCGAGTTTAAAGCGGCGCTCAGGGACGCTCTGAAAGGGAAGGGACGCTCGGTGATCCTGCTACTGGTGGGCGGTGTCGGTCCGCGGGATCTCGACGCCGATCTCAAAAAGAGAATCTCCTCGCACACCGTGCTGGTGTGGGGGGACAAGTTGTTTTGGCAGAAGTTGAGGTTCGCCATGCCGGACGTGTCCCCCATCCCCGTTCTGGAGAGACCGCTGCCATTGCCGCCGCCGCCGCCGCCCCCGGCGCAGCATCAATGGACGTAGAACTGCCATTATTTAGGTAAGAACCGTTGTTTCATCCTCCTGGAATCTTTCTTTCTCTGCCCTTTCTTTCTTCATCTTGCGACCACAGTCTTCATTCGTCTTTTCTTGGCTCCGACTAGGGGACACGATAATCTTGATGAACTTTACGGAGATTCCTCCGAATAAGATACTCCGCGTGTACTTGTCTTTATTGAAAGAACGATCGATGTCGAGGGTGGAGAATGTGTTACTTCTCAGAATATTTGAAACACTAAAGGGTGCAAGAGGAAATGATCGATTCGTATTAATCTCTACCTCGTCAAATGCTCCGGGGGACATACTTCCAACCCTTAACACCGATGCTTGTTAAATCTAAACTTTATTAAATCCCTCGTGCACGGGTGCACCGTATTCCCTTTCAAACAGCAGTTGGCGACAACGGCGCGAGCCGAAAGAGGTGGCAGGCATTCCCGTATAAAATCGTCGCGTAACGAACCGGCTCGAAAATAACTCTACACACCGGGATCGATCCGATTCCCCCTTATTCCGGATCCGTAGGAGATCCGGGGAGAGTCTTTTATTGCTACTCGAACGAACGTCTTGCTCGACTCGCATCGATCGTTTGCCGGGCTACATCGGCTATCGGATCATAGCGCGTCGCCTTCCGTTCTCGGTTCGTTTGCCTCGATTCCTGGCCAGAGGAGTCCATGATTTTAATGACCCTTACTCCCGAGGCGGTGGAATCACCGTCTCCACCCAGCCTCGCGTCCCGGGGGCGCAGGAATTGTCCCGCGGATCCCGCGTTGCTGACGGATTTATAGCGCCGCTTAAACCGTTCAATCCGCTGCCCCGTAAAGCCCGAAGTTCGACGCGGGGCCTTTCCACCCCCGTTAATGGGCGACGCTGCGAAATTATATATCATTCCCGACTGACAAACTAACGAGACCCGGCGCGCCCCCGTGCCATTGAACAACGCAACGACGGTACGCCTCGACCTACAAGCCCGATTCGACGACGGCGCATTTCGCCCGCCATTGTGATCGCGCCGATCGTGAATGGGGTCATCTTCGGGCGGGTTTCGCGGCAGCATATGGACCGGACCAGCGAAACTGCGCGAGGGAATCGGCAACAGTGAAATTTGTCGAGCAATAGGGCAGCAATGGGCCTGCCCCGACCACTCTCGCTTGTCGCCCGTTAAATTTGAAAACTCTATTGATCGCCGATCGCCCCACGTACGGCGACAATTCTCACCCACTTACCAATTAAGTCGCTTTTATCGGATGGCTCCCTGCCAGCCCGTAAAGGAATATTGTCGGAATTGCATCGCGCGCCCCGTGCACACGCCGCGCCGCGTCGTGCTGTGCCGTGCCGTGCCGTGGCAGGCGCGTTACCTTTTATCGATTATCGCGCCGCGTCGTTGTGTCGTTCTTAATTCAATAGAACCGCCCGCCGCGCATTTCCACGACAACCCATTGACTCCCGTTCTCCGGCCCATCTAACGTTAACGTGTTCTCGATCTGACACCTCCGCGCGCGCCTATCAACCCCTATACGTTTCGCGCTAACGGGGTAATCTTGTCTTCGTTATTAAACCGTTACCTCCTCCCACCGACGCGATTCTTTCTTGTAACATCGTCGCCGGGGATAAATGGCAGTGACGCCAGCGAGGATCGAGTGTTTATCCTGGCACGCCTCTCCGTTGTCTTTTTGCGAGACCTGTCGGGCTATCGAGTTTCTTCCAAGAGTTTATGGAACCTTTGTTCACGTGGACCATTGGATATTTCAGAAAAATGAACGGAACGGCAACAACGGTTAATTTAATTTTCGTTTAGAGTAACTCGAAGCAGAATATTTCAAAGATATTTCCGAGTACTCTTGAAAATCTGAAACATCTATATCATCGAATTCTACAGCTTCAGAATTTTCCAAGCTCCGTAACACTTTTACTCAACCTTCGCTAGGAAAATATAAAATATTCATTGTAATAATATCATGACACCAAAGTTTAAGCAAGCGCAAACATTTTCCTCGTTAACGGGAAAGTTAAGCTTTAATAGGGGTGGCGACCCTCCTAAAAGGGAAATATCGCGTCAGATTCGCGCTTTGTCGCGGCTATACGAGAAAATTAGGAAAGTCAATTGGTCTCGGTCCCCCGGAGCCCCGCGACAATGTCACTCGCACCCCCATGAACTCACCCCTACGTCCGAGGATATCGGGTGGCCGAGGTTCCGCGTGAACTCGACGGACCGTGCCCGCCGCGTTAACTTCTCGTGACAAGCTTCAGTTTCAGCTGTTCGCCGGCCGAGGTGGTCACCGCCTCGTTTCCCCCGAGGGGCGGCGGAATCCGAAGGGCGGGTGTGCGTGCGTGTAGACCCTTTTTATTCCCCCCGAAACGGCGCATTCACGCCACGAACGTTTCCATTAGCGGCTGATCCATTGATAAGCCAAGCCGATACGGGCCCTCGATCCTGGCTCGTCTTACGGGATTACGCAAAAAATATATTACTCGAACAATGCGTGAATGGGGACCTCCTTGCCATTGTGCCGGGAAGATTGTCACGCTCGCTGTCGCACGTTCGAGGGTGAACTCCGATTCGCGGGGATATGCTCCACGTGACGCGATTTCATGGAATTTCTCGGAAACTCTAGCCATAAACGAAGTGGTTGGATGTAGGAGTCATTTTTAGGGGTAATACTAGGTAGATATCGGAGCGCGTATCTGTGGAAGCTTTGTGACGATCTTCGGAATGGCACATCGTTAGAGAGAAATTCGAGTTTGCAGATTTGCATGATGTATTTTTTGAATATACGAGCATATTACCTATCTTTGAGGAACGTTACACCCCCAGCGCGAAATTAAGAATTCGTGCGATTCCGCGAGTGTCAGCCCGAAAATGTTCGAGAGCGATTCAGCCCGGAAAAGCGGGAAGACGGAAGGTCTCCCGCCGGTCTGAGTTAGGCGCAGAGCGAGGAGGCGCTTTGTAAGATCAGCCCGAAAGGCAGACGGCAAAGGAGAAGCTAGGGTTTCGTCAGGGGAGAAAGGGATCTCGTGCTCTTTTTGCCGTGATTTATTACCGCGCCATACGCCCGGCGGTGGGGTTTTGTTGTCAGTTTCGATTTCGGCTATGATGTACGAGTCGCGCGGGGGTGAGCGCGGGCGCCGAGAAGAGCGAAAAATAAAAAAGGGAACGGCGATCCATCGATT